TGGATGTAAAAGTAATCCTCATGTGATTCCCTGTCGAATAAATATCCCGTATATACCTCATACTGTAGTTATAGTCACAATATCGAACAAGCTCGTTATTCCAAGAGTACTTCCCGTCACGGATCTCCACTACACCTGTATCGCTTGAATAGGATTTACACTGGGTGAAGCCTCTTCCAAGGTCAAAGTCTTGAAATGTCACCTTCACTCTTTTGCCAGCTGGAACGGAGATCACCCAGATGCACTTGGAATCTCATGGGTATGGATATGGCTAATCAGGACTCAATATTGTACCGGAAGGGCCACTGAGCGGCATGACGTAATCATTTGAGACTCCAGATGTTTTACGACATATTCCAGCGGCTTCATCTGTGTGGGGGTAAATTTAACATTTTCAACCACTTAATAATTAAGGTGAAATTTTTATCAAACATCATTGTATGTTAAATGTGTTCGTCACTTTATAGAAGGGCAAAGAAATATTTCAATAGTGACTTCAAATCCGAACCGCAGACTCTTGCTTCAGTTACGATCAGTTGTTGTTAGGTTTATGAAGGTTTTTTCCCCCAGTCAGTACAAGTTCGCCCTCTATAAGTTCGCCCCCACCACAACGAGTTCGCAGTATCAATTACACAAAGTTTGTCACCATGCCTTTCTGATCTTTGAATATTCTCTTCAAACCTTAACATCAGTGTCCATATTCACCAATCTCTTCCCTATGCATTTTCTTTGGTGGCTTTGGTACTGATAGGGAAAATGATTGTTTCGTAATCAAAACTTTTTAGGTTGGCGATCTTTCCCTATATTCTCGTGATCTTAATGGATGATTCGGCATTATTGCTGTAATGAGAAATTAAAAGCCAGTCATTCTTAGGGTCTTAAGACAAAATATGTTTCGTCTGGCTCGATAGACCTGCAAAATTCTTTCTATGACTTACACGTTTGCAATTACAATCAGTTAAGTGATATGCTGGTATTTTGACTACAAGTTGTTGTAAGTCAATCGATTCCCCACCATTCCTAGGTTGATCAGTCCGGTTGGAATTTTTTTTTCAGTTGGGGAAAACATGTCCGACTGTGTGGAGGAAAGGAAGGGAGGAGGATTGGGAGGGGGGTTTCATTTGCAACATGGAAAAAACTTCAATCACACAAGTTCTAATGTCAATGTGCTTGGCATTCCATACGTTCACTGAAATTTGCACAAATTCTGAATGAGGAATCGAATCAAACTTCTTAACATGTCACTAGTAAACTATGATTGTAAGATCATCATAATTTATAAATTTAAATCGTAGGATTTTTCTTCAGCACTTCCGGTAAAATCAGAGGGAAGTAGACTAGCCAACAGTTTTGGCTGCCTACCGGCTCTTAATGAAAGTTCTCATCCTTGCTTGTTGGTTTAACTAGAGAAGCCAGGATTTTTTCGAGGAGGGGGTGCACCACTAAAGAATGGCGTAACTGACTGGTGACCGGACGTAAACAAATTGTAATGGCGAATACGAAGAAGGCTTTTGCCTAGGCAATAACATAATATGAACACNCCTTAACCATTTAACTCCCAAGATTGGATTCCTACTGCCTCACTTTTCCTTGTAAATAAGAAAGAAGAATTTGGTCCCATTTCAAAATACCCCCCCCCTTTCCCTTCCAGCTGATAAGCTTCTCTGTTCTGTGTTCTCATAACTTATTCGAATTACAAGGAGAATTACATGGTGATCACTTGGGTTAAGCTTTGCACCCTGACTAATCATATGATTTAGTTCAAAGAAAAGAATTTGTCATATTTCCTTTTTGTATTGTTTTACGATTAATATTTTCTAAATTATTCTGAGCCATTTTATTGTGCATTTTTTTATTCCTTTTTTTTATTCTCCATGATTCCTTCATGTTGTACTTGTACACTGCTGAAAGGACTGTGTACTGTATATGTCATTATATGGACAATATTGACAGAATAGAGTAAACTGTAAAAATAACTAATCGTAATGAATAAATTACCTTTTGCAACAGCTGCAACATTGAAACTGAAACCCTTGTCATTGTAAAAATAGCCAGATATGAACTTTACATACAAGGAAAGACCGGTGGAATAAATAACCTCAGGATGCAGTGTTCCACAGTAGGACCCAAGGAGATTGGACGTAGTGCTGTCACCATCATGAAAGTCCAAATGGTCACCATAACATGATCGAAAGGAATTCACTCCAACCTGAAATTCGTTAAATGTCACCTTCACTACATCACTGAGATAGCTGCCAGTTTGAAAACGCCAGGTACAGACAAGGTTATCGCCGTAATTTGATGGGTAACCTGGACTTGTGATAGTTGTATTGTGCCCTCTGTAGACAACAATTTGTTGTGGAGAAGCTGAACAACCTTAAATTTAAAGAAATCCATTTATGAAAAGCAATTTAATACACAAAACAATAAAAGGGCAAAATGCCATTTAACCAATAAAAAATTATTAAATTACAAGAATTGGAGGAAACCAAATATTTACAAGTAGACTTAATACCAGGGAGTTTCCTTGCCAGGAACTACAACTGACCCTGGATCAGGAAGGTATGTGCACACAAATTCGAGAAAACGAGAGCTTTTCTTCTTAGCCACCCAACACACACCACAGCTTCTATGCTGTAAATTACCAAACAGCAAAAGGAACAAATAGAGCCTTGTTGCTCTTTGCAAACTCAAGGACCTGAATTAAAATCCAATTATGCCTGCCTCAGGTTTTGAGATTACATAATACTCCCAAATGTTGAGTTTTTTGTACCCTACAGACTTTTTGCTAGATAGTTTTAGGGTGCAATCTTATCCTTGCCAGCAAAACAATGTTCAAAAGGTAAGTACATGACACCACAGCTTATATTTAAACAAACAAAACAGACATCTAAACTTCAGGGAAACAGTAACCAAACTGACCATGTACAAGAAACTGACCATGTACAAACAAAACAGACATATAAACTTCAGGGAAACAGTAACCAAAATGACCATGTACAAGAAAAGAGATTACATTAAAAAATTGTGAAAGCCTGTTTTTAGTTAATAACTGTCCACCTGATGAAGATGTAATGTGGAATAAAAGAACTGTTACTTAATGTCCAAAATGATCTAAGTCAGTGGTGAATTTATGTGACTATGAATAACTTCTCAAATGACTTTCTCAATCTTGTTTAACTTTTGTTGCAAATCTTTAATTTCTTGAGGCATTAAATATAAACTAGAAAAAAAATGGAACTAGAAGCAAATAAATCACAGTGCTTAAAAATATCTGATCCCAT